TTTTTTTTTTCTTTTTTCTTTTTTTTGGCCATGCTGTATAATTTGGGTGAGGCCTATAAAGTTGGGTATGACTTTGCCCTGCAAGTGGATTTCTACCAGGGAATCTTCTTGGCTGTTCTGGAAAACACAAACATCCATATGGATAACTGTTCTAAATGGCTTTTGATAATGCTTACAAATCTTGGTGTTTCAGAAGGAAATTTTTCTGCATCACAAATACTAAATTTTATATTTCCAAATTATGATAAGTCATTCAATATTGGTTTATGGTGTTTATTTACTTGAAGGCATCTTTCAGAGGTTTCAAAGTCCTCAAATTTCTTAGATTAAGAGAGAACAAAATAGGGAGAGGTTTTTTACCCTATGTACATAAATAACCTCTGAAAATTACAAGATAACTTGGTTTTCTTACTATTTCATTGTACTTCCTTTGAAATACCCTCAAAGAATATAGTAATAATGGAATTATGATCTTCAGTAGCACCTCAACCATTTTTTAGAATTTTGCTTATGAAGTAAAATTTTTAACATTAACATTTAGCATGTAATAAAACTAGGGCCTGAAGTCTCCTTTAAAAAGTATGTTTACATTCCATGTAACTTTTCTGACCTATTATTGGTAAATTACTATACAATTTAAGTTGCCACTTATTAATGACAGAATTTTTGGATATTAGGATTCTAATAGGCATGCAAATACAATAAAATCCATATCAAGGAAAAATATCTGATGGAAGATAGCTTTATTTCCCGCCCCCAAAAAAACCACCAAAAAGACTAATCCATCAACATTCATGATGGGGACAACAAAGTAACAAATAGGTAAATACTCACTACAGATGTTTGCACAAGCAGAGTACTGGGGCTCTATCATATCAACCTGGCAATGGACTTGATGGTTGTGAGACTTGATCTGTGGTTTTCACACTATTTCAAAAGTGGAACCTTTTTTTTTCCAAGTAAAATCTTACACAGAACCTTTACACACACGTGTGCATGCACACACACACTGCCCCACCATATAAGTCATGTTTTATGAATATGTATTTCCTTATATAGTATATAAACTTTATTATATACTATAATTAAATATTGTCAACCAGTAAAAATATATATCAATGCATTGGTGATATCCAATATATTAGAATTTGG